ATTGAAATATAATTCAAAAATAACATTTCCATTAATGATAATTGCTCAAATTTCTTGAATTACTTAGAAAAATGTGTTATATGAATGTTCTCATTTAGCCTCACAAACACCCTATAAGGTAGATATTATTATCCCATTTTACAGGTGGGGAACTGAGGCCTAGGGAGTTTACACAGCTCATTTGGGAACACACGGCTACTATTAGTAATAGTTACTAATAGAAACTATAAGTGTGTTATAGATACACTTTATTTCATTGGAAGCTTCCCAAATGTATTCATAAGGACAACCTTTTTCTCTTTTTTTCCTTTTCTTTTCAGATAGAATTTTGCTCTTGTTGCCCAGGCTGGAGTGCAAGGGTGTGATCTCGGCTCACCGCAACCTCTGCCCCCCAGGTTCAGGCGATTATCCTGCCTCAGCCTCCCAAGAGGCTGGGATTACAGGCATGCACTACCACACCCAGCTAATTTTGTATTTTTAGTAGAGACGGTTTCTCCATGTTGGTCAGGCTGGTTTCAAACTCTCAACCTCAGGTGATCCACCCGCCTCGACCACCCAAAGTGCTGGGATTATAGGCGTGAGCCACCATGCCTGGCCTAGGAAAACCATTTTTAACATTTACAAACACTGACTTACTGTCCAGGTGTGGTGGCTCACGCCTGTAATCCCAGCACTTTGGGGAGGCCAAGGCAGGCAGATCACAAGGTCAGGAGATCAAGACCATCCTGGCCAACATGGTGAAACCTCGTCTCTCCTAAAATATAAAAAATTAGCCGGGCATGGTGGCCCTAGCCTGTAGTCCCAGCTACTCAGGAGGCTGAGGCAGGGGAATCGCTTGAACCCGGGAGGCAGAGGTTGCAGTGAGCCAAGATTGGTGGCCCGAGCCTGTAGTCCCAGCTATCAGGAGGCTGAGGCAGGGGAATCGCTTGAACCCGGGAGGCAGAGGTTGCAGTGAGCCAAGATTGGTGGCCCGAGCCTGTAGTCCCAGCTATCAGGAGGCTGAGGCAGGGGAATCGCTTGAACCCGGGAGGCAGAGGTTGCAGTGAGCCAAGATTGCACCCAACCTGGTGATAGAGCAAGACTACATGTCAAAAAAAAAAAAAAAAAATACCCACATCTTAAAAAATAATTCTTAAAATTTTTCACTTAATCCTATAATACCTCAGCAACAACCCATTTTATCTTCAAAAAAAGAAAGAAAGAGAGAAAATGACTTAAATGATTTATTTTACCATTTAACCATCGGTTCCTTTTCAAATCACTGCTATCAAAACTAAATAGTTTCCTCCTTATTACTAAATCGTTAATAATTTTTAGTCTTCCCTTTACTTCAACTCCCCGCAGTACTTGTTGTTCGTTGTTTTTAAAACTCACAGTCACTATCACTGACTTTTTCATTACTCTTGAATTTATTTTCTCTTCTATTACTCAAATTTTCCACTGCTTTTGAATTTTTTGTCTCTTGAACCCTTGATGCATCTGTCCCAGATTCCTGCTTCCACCCACTCTCTGCTATTTATCCCCGGTAGCTCCTTTTGGAATCTTTCATTCTTCCTGCTCCTCAGTGTTGATATTCTCTCGGATTCTCTCTTTTACATTCTACTGTTCATTCATCTTTCCATTTTGCATTCCCTCCCTCAGTGGTCTCACTCACTGCCACACATTTTAGTTACCATCCATTTATTTTACTTAATGACTTAGGTACCTCACTTTTTTATTTATTTAATTACTATGCCAATAATTCCCACATGTGTATGTAGCCCAACCCACATGTACATATACAGGTGTGTTTGGACAGCTCCAAATGCATGTCCCTCCTTCTACAGGCCCCTCAAACTCAAACTGAATTCATCACCTTTCCTGTCCCTTCGCAGTTTCTGTCTCAGCAGCAGCACCACCCACATTACATCAGACAGAACCTAGTCAACCTACCACCAAGCGCCTTTTCCTTGTCTCCTCATATGTAACCAGTCACTAATTATCTAAACTCCATCACCTCGACATTTTTCATCTCTGATTCTTTTTCCTCATGTTTGCCATGCTGCCTCAGTTCATGTTCTTCTACTCTTGTCCTAGACCAGTGAAAACATTCTGTATCGGCTCATATGCCTTCAACCTGTCCTTTCCATCGCAGCGTAGATGGTCTTCCCAAAATGCAAAATGCTGTTTCTCCCTATCTAAATCCTGCATTGACCTCATTTCAACTATCGAATAGAATTAAAATCCACCAGCCTGCCCTAAAAGGCCTCCTTAACTTGCGCGCTTACCCCTTGCCAAGTGTCCCTCCTCCAACTCTACACCTAAGCTGCACATATTACTTATAGTTCTCCAAAAATACAAAGCTACTGAAAACCCTCATAACTTTCCCTTCATGTGTCTCTCTGAACGTAGTGTCCCCAGCCTCTCAAACACTTACTCCTGATGCCTTATTATGTGGAATATGTTAAAATTAACTCAACTTCACATCTCTCCTTCTGCTAAGTCTTTCCTGAGCTCCTCTACTTAATCAGGTAGATATAAGCAAGCTCTGGGCTCTACCGTACATGCTGCTGCCATAACACCTTACTATACTTTACCTTAGTTGAGAATTGTATTAGACTTTCAATTTCCTTATGAACAGGCACCATATCACATTGGACATTAATCCTCAGTACTAAGATAACTTGACCCCACACATAAGTTTGTGAAACATGCATGAGGGTGTTGTCTTTAGTTTTTACTAGCTTGATTGTTTGGCATTTTTAAAACAAACATAGTTGTTATGTCAATTGTTATTGACAAAATAAAAAACTAGAAATGAAATGAATGTGTGTGCTTTATTTTTATTAAATCTACAAAATAAAAGTTGCCAGCTCTGAATGGTGTCACAGCATTATGCTGAATCGGAATCTTCCACATTGCAGAGAAATTCTGACTGATTTCCACTCTGTTATTTTTATCAGCAAAGGTATATTAGATATGTTTACCTAAGAAATAATTATACTTCTATGACGACATTCCTCCAAATGTTTGCCTTACCAATAAAAGATGAAAACAAGATATCACATATGTAGAGTAAGATAACTATTTCCAGATGTTTCCCTCCAAGACAATTCTTTCCGTTTCTTACAAAGAGGCCCCCAGATGTTGCAGCTAGTGTTTTATCTTGCTCTACCTCCCTCTCCACCCTTCAAGCTCAGCAGAACTTATTTGTACATGCTGGTCTTGATTATGCTGATCACGAGTCCTAGAGAGAGCTCCTGGCTCCAGTCAAAGATGGAAAATGAAGTTATAGACAAGCCGCTCAAAAGCACAGCCCTAAAAATGGACTCTTCGTAATATTTTTTGGAGGAAAACACTTTGTATCCTGTTATATTTATATGTATCCTGTGGCTACAGAAACTGACATCCCTACTTTTGTCACTTAGCTTCGTGTCAAAGAGGTTGGAAATCCCCAATGTCCCCTAACAGCTTACTGGATAGTTTAGTTAAAAAAAAAAAAAGCCACATCAGTGGGTCTCAGGTGGAAGATCATTTAATAAATAGAAAGTGAATAGAGAGTTTAGTAGGCGAAAGAAAGGAAAACTGATAAAGAAATAAGGAAGAGAACAGTTTTGAAAAAAAAGGGCATATCCAGATTTACAAAGGTGAAGAAAATGATGATATAGTCAGAAGGGAAAGGACGTATTAAAATCCAGGCACTGAATGAATGTCTGTTCAATCTGATACAGACTGACAGAAAACTGCTGAAAGGAACACTTTAGGAATTCTCAAGAAATGGAATGTTGAAAGGAATCCTACATTTCTGGAGTGTCTGTAAGATATCAAGTATTTCACATAATTCGTCATTCTCAGTACTCAGGACCACCTTGTAAAGGAAGTTTAATTACTTCTATTTAATATTAATTAAAGTTAATATAAACTAATATACCTAAAGAATTTAAACACTGACAGCACATAATGAGTCCTGTATACATGTTTGTGGCCATTAATATTTTATAAATAAGGAATATGATGCCACCAGGATACACAAATAATGCCTCCAAAGTTACACAGAAGGTAAGTGGTGTCCCTGGGTTAGGACCTAGAATCTAGCCGTGCCATGTGAGTCCTTTTCACTAGAGCTTAAGTCATATTTTAGCTTTAGATTGGCTGAGTGGCCCAGGAAATAAAATCCTTCTCTAAGTCTGCGAATTATGGAACTGAATAGAACTGAAAAAAAAAAAAAATCACTGCTAGGTCCTAGGGTGAGTAATTGGAAATAAAATTGTAAGATGGAAGCTAAATATAACGAACATTAAATATTTTAATAATTTGATTCAATCTTCTCCAGAGTATTCTGAAATCGTTACAGAAAAAGGGGATAGGGACTGGACATAATGGAATTTGACGCCATTATTTAAATTATTGAATCACAGATGTTCACAGGTAAAGGAACCTTAGAAAGCATTTGCTTTAATCATCCTTCATTTCACATCTGATAAAACCAAACATCTGATGTTGACATGACTGTCTTAAGGGCTCACAATTTCAAGAGGCAAAATTATTGTAACAGAAAACTGGGGTTCATTTGTACACTTGAAAATCCCCCCTAAAGCCATGACTTCAAAACTAGCAAAAATGTGGCTTTTATAAATCTACATTTCCAGATCAGATGGTAAACAAAACAATACTTGACTTGTTTTAGGGAAGGTGGGAAAGAGAAAGGATGTAGCTTTAATCATACATAAAATTTCACTTCTGTATGCTACGCCTGCATGGAAAAAGCAACACATGCTCACCTGCAAACCACTGTGCTAGCAATAGAACTTCAGAAAAACAAACATCTGTATGTAGATTGAGTTTAAATTTCCAGCTATTCACATATGTGGCATTAAGTTGTGGAAAGTGCACAGCTACACATCACTGTAAATCACAACATTTCTTCTCTTTTCTCTATTTTGTACATTTCTAGGAAGGATAACTCATCTCACACATTTTGCAAGGGCTCTGGTCTATTCGGACCCCAGGAGACCGAGTACCTGTGCACCGGGGCTCCGGCTGCCGGGTTGTGGCAGAGGCTTGAGAATACAGGCTCATGGTGGTGTCCTCATCATCATCCAGCATGTCCCTCGTGCTGCTGTACTTGGCCTGCATCTGGATTCCCGCAGCTGTGAGAGTGAAATGTGGTCGGATTGCCCTAGGCCGCCTGGCTACTGGGAGCTAGTTCAGGAAGCAAGGCACTGAAAGGCATTCCTAATGTTCTTTCCGGGTAAGTAGCAGGGGAAGTCTCTGACTGCAGTTCCTGACTGGAGAGGCCCAGCCCCTCTCCTGTGAGCTTGTACTCTGAATGCCAAATCAGTCAGGCTGAGGGGAAATAGCATGTGTTTTCTGTTTAGGCGGTATCTGTCTCAACAGTTATCAAAAAGTTGGCCTTCCTCAGTCTCTTTCATTTACCTGTTTGCACTTCTCATGTAACTAGTGTAAAGAAGGCAAGTTCTCAGAATAGCACGGTGGTTCCTTCAGAATAATAACAGAATAATAACACGTTGGGAGGACGCACATTCCTGTTTCCTACCCATCCTTTAAGGAGTCGCTTAAGTTAACCTCTCTGTGCCTTTGTGAAAAGAACAGAGCTTACAGGACCTAGCCCCTTCCTTTCTCCAAGAACAGAGTAGTGATCTTTCTTACAGTATCTGAACTTGATTTAACATTTTATAGCACATTTGGTACATTATGATCATGAGGAATTATACATTTTACTGGAAGTCAAATCTTTTTAAACTATTACTAACCACCATGTGTTCTGGGGAAGCCAATTAGTTCGGAGGACAGCCAATTAGACTGGAGGACAGGTCACATCACTGGATCCTCTGGATCCTTAGCAGACATCCCCAGCAATAGTCTGGAGCCACTGAGTGGCTAGACCCAGAGGAGCAGCACTCAGAGTGGTCTATCTCTCAGGAACTCCTACTCCTAGGGGACGGGAGAGTGCACCACGCCGTGCCTAAATTTCCTAAACTGAGAAGAAAATGTTTTAGGTTATGTGAAAAAATTCTTCCTGAATCAGTCCATTAGAATTATATTCCCTGTCTTGGTCTGTTTGTGCTGATCTACAGCAGAATACCTGATGACCTACAACGGAATACCTGAGACCAGATAAATTACAAGCAATAGAAATTTATTTCTCAGCATTCCAGAAGCTGGGAAATCTGAGATAAAGGCACTGGCAGGTTTGGATGTCAGGTGAGAGCTACACTCTCTGTAGAGGAGGAAGGCGATTCTCACATGGCAGAAAACACGTCAAGCCAGCCAAATGCTACATGTAGCTTCTTTTATAAAGGCCTTAATATCATCCACAAGAGAGAAGCCTTCAAGGTCTAATCACCTCTTAAAGGCCCCACCTGTCTCCTAATACCTCCACACTGGCAACACCTGAATTCTCCAGGGAACGCATTCAAACCATAGTAACATAGTTATCAGTAACAACTTTGTGGTTTGGGGAAGACAATTAATCATTTGTGCCTACAATTCCTAAACTAAAAGACAAATGAGAAGGTCGCTTTAGATCAGGTCTAAAAGTTATTCTTGAATCTGTACAATCGAATTATATTCCTCTTCCAAAACTTTTCCAGATTTTAAATGATAGATGGGCAAAATCAAGCATCATAACTATAAGGGAGTGCCAGAATGCTTCAGCTGGGGTAGCCAGACCTGATAAAAGATTTATGAAGAAGTAAACATTGTAGATTCACCTGTGTTGCAAGCTGTGTTGTTCATCAAATTATTCTATTTTTTTTTTTAAACTGGTGCATTTTTTTTTTTAAGATGGCAGATTGGAGGCAGTGTTAGCATGACTCTCCCACTTGGAAGGACAAAATAGTATGTAAAATTCTCACTGTAAACGTTTTTCCAAGAAGCAATGCAGGAAGTGAACAGCAAAACTGAAAGAATCCATAGACTCTTTGAAAGAAGCAGCAGGCTGCAGCCTACACTGTGAGCCAGGTGAAAAACCATAAGCCCCCAAAGTGTGAGAGGTAAAGAGACTGGCTCCAGGATACATACTCCCACTGGGGAACCTGAAAGTCCAGGCCATGGGGGAAGGCCTTAACCCTTCACAGGGAGCACATTCAGGGAACCCTGGAACCCATTTAAGGAGCAGTGAGAAATATAAACGTAAGAGCAGCAGCAGGAAGAGGCTTGTGTGCATTCCCAGTCTCCAGCGTGAACCAAGGGAAGCTATTCCTTAGTATACCTCACAGAAAACCTCATGGAGCTCAGCCAACGAGCTCAGGTAAGGGCTGTACCTTGAAAAAAGCTCCGAACTGAAATTCACAATATAACCTCAAGTAAAGATGAACTCCCTTGGTCAGAACCAGAAAGGTGAGTGGGAAGTGTGCTGCAGCATGAGTGCAGGATCCGGGTGTAAGCTTTGCGGGTGGACAGAGAGGGGCATGGCCTGAAAGCCAGCAGTTGCTGTCACCACAAAAGCTTATGGCCTCAGGCAATTGTGAGTTCTGAGTGCAGACTGCCTGGAACATGGCTCACTGCTGCCAGCAGAGTACTGCAGGAGCCTGATCTGCCTTGCCAACTGTGTGGAATCTGGGTTAGGCTTACTGCTGTGTGCTACTACCTGTGCAAACTCTTCTGTGCAGCAGAGGCAGCAATGCTCCCCTATGGAACATTACCCCAGTGGCCAGAGAACCAACTCCATCTCCAATAGGAGCCACTGCTTGCCATGCACATGGTGACTCAGAGCGCAGACCCACCTAACACAGCCCTCATCTGGCTTTGCCCCTCCACTCATCGTGGTAGCTTAATACAAAGGGTAGAAACCCTAGGGAGGTTTATAGCCCCATCTATCACCTGAGAGCCAGACTACTGACCATGGGCAACATAAGGCAAGCACAAATCACACTGCTACTACCACACCTGGTACTCTTTTGCAAATGCCACCCCATAGCTGGAAGCCAACCAACACAGTCCATTACAGCATCTCCAGGTGGAATAACACTGCACTCAGAAAAGAGAAAACTACTGTGTGACCTCAGCTATTACCACTGCCTGCACCACCCTGTCTAACCAGGACATCCTGAGACTGTCCACATAACTAGTTTATTACTATTTTAATTGGCATTCAAGAAAGACAACACACTAAAGTTATCTATAATCAAGAATCCACAGAGTCTATGTCACTCCTCTGGCACCCCCATCAGAGGTGGTAGTGATAACTGCTGCTGGGAGACTGGAGGACAGGTCCTATCACTGGATCCTTAGCAGACATCCCCCAGCAATAGTATGGAACCACTGAGTGGCTGGATCCAGAGGAGCAGCAGTGCTCACAGTAGTCTGTCTCTCAGGTACTCCTATTCCTAGGGGAAGGGAGAGTGCACCACTTAATGGGAACACTCTGTGTGACAAAAGAATCCAGATGGCAGGTCTTGAGGATCAGATTGTTCCACCTGTAAAAAGTTTCTTTCAATAGAGGCAGAATTGCAGGGCTGGGCTCAGCATGGAATGTCTACAGCTGTACCCCAACAGTCAGACAGCCCTGGTGCTTATCAAGGATCTTAGAGAAGGGGACTTCCTACCTACCTCATCCTCCACTGCACACACAGCTGGGTCTTCCCCCACAAGAACTCAACGTGGGTGCACCCACAGACAGACTTTCTAGAACACTTTGGGGTGACTGCATCCCCACAGGAGAAGCACCCTCCAGTTTCAGGCTTACATGAGAGACAGAGTCACAATTCTTCTCTACTTGGAACATTAACATTCTGACAGATGAAAAGAGAGGCCTGTAGATAGCTTCCCTGCTGACCTGACAGAAGAGCTACCACCCTAATAAGACTTCAGTGTGTCTCACTGACAGATCCCCAGCCCCCTCTGTCAAGGCTGGGACCTCTGCCCACCATTGGATATTGTATTTACCCACCTGCTTCAGCCACAATAGGTTCCTATCTAGGAACACCTCTCCTACTGGCCTGAAGCCTGAACCATCAACCCACTGAATAAAATACTAGGGAAAAGTAAATAAATTAAGAAATGCATACCACACTGGAATGAGATAAGCTTCCAGAGACAGTAAGTTTTCTTGCACACCAAGCACATTATTACTATGACTAGCATCTGAGAAAGCCATCGTACCAAGTCTCTCTATAACCAAGGAAATCACACAGAGTTTTCACCTGAAAGCACCAAAAACCAAATTAGGCTATAAACAACTATAAACATTAAATTCAAATCCTTAAGAAGGAAAATACGAAATTTTTTTTTAAAAATCACACAATCAAATCAAATAAATTTAAGAAAAATTAGAGGAAATAGTCTACCCAAGTGAGAAAGAACCAGAAAACTAATTCTGTTAAAATGATAAATGGGGTAACACCTCCCAAAAGATCACATTAGTGCTCTAGCAATGGAGCCAAACCAAGATAAAATATTAGAAATACCAAATGAAGAATTCAGATTAAAAGTTACACAAGGAGATACTGGAGAAAGGTGAAAACCAACATGAAGAAATTTTTTAAAAATTCAGATTGTAAATGAAACATTTTCTAGAGAGCTAGATATCATTAAAAAAAAGAACTTCTGGAAATGAAAAGCACATTTAGGAATTACAAAATGTAGTGGAAAGTTTTAACAGTAGACTAGAAGAAGTAGAAGAAGGAACTTCAGAATTCAAAGAAAGGCTTTCAAATTAACCCAACTAGACGAAAATGAAGAAAAAAGAATCAAATAAACAAACTCTCCAAGAAATATGGTAATATGTAAAATAGCCAAACCTACGAATAATTGGTGTTTCTGAGGAAGAAAACAAAAAGTTTAGAAAACTTATTTGAAGAAAATAATTGAGGAAAACTTCCCTGGCCTTGCTGGAGATTTAGATATCCAAATCCAAGAAGCTCAAAGAACTCCTAAGAAACTCATTGCAAAAAGATCACCACCAAGGCATAGTCGTCAGGCCATCTAAAATCAACATGTAGAAAAAAAAATCTAAGGGCAGTGAGACAAAAAGTATCAGGTCACCTGTAAAGGAAAACCTATAAGTCTAACAGCAGACTTCTCAACAGAAACCTTATAAGCCAAAAGGAATTGGGATTCTATCTTTAGCCACCTTAAACAGAATAACTGTCAACCAAGAATGTTGTATCCAGCAAAACTAAGTTTCATTAATGAAAGACAGATAAAGTCATTTTCAGACAAAGAAATATGAGGGAATTTGTAGTGCTACCAAACCAGCACTACAAGAAATGTGAAAAGGAGTTCTAAGTCTTGAAACAAAAGCTCAATATGCACCAAAATAGAA